ATAAATGTCCAGTTTATTACATTGGAACCAAGGTGACCAATCTTCCAATTGGTACTTCTAATAGTAACTGAGACTAACTGAATTTTGAATTAAGTAGGAATCAATTGCTTACATCTAGTATTCTTGTTCAAATATTTTTATCCTATGAACATGTATAGGGCGCAGAGCGAAATGAATAAACATTTTAAATAAATACACATTTTCTAAGTCTAATCAAAATTTACAGTTGATTGCAATCAATTTTTTTGTCAAAAACTCAACTAAATTGTCGATTGTTGTTATTTTTATATATTTTGTCATTGACATAAACTAATTGAAGGTAAGTGAAACAAGGCAAAGCCAAGTCAACACAGCAACCTCATTTCGAATGATTGTCTGAATGTTCTTGTTTGAAGGGAAAATTATTTCGAATATTTTCTCATTGGAATGTGTGTGATTCAATGGCAAAATATTTTAATATTTGTTGTTATTAAGTACATTGAGAGCAATTTAAACAATTCGATTCAAATATCTTCTCCAGTTCGATTGAGCGTCCAAATCGATCTAATCTCAATTCTCAGAAGTGATTTGTGTCTTTGATCTATCGAACATGCTCCTGCCCATAAAAATATTTTGTCAATCACAAGTGATGTATTCCGAGCGATGTTCTATGGTGAATGGAAGGTGTCAGGTGACATCCATATGAATACCGGTCAGAAGGAGTATCTACACACGGCGCCGGCTTTCAAAGAGTTCTTACAGTATTTCTACTTGAGAAGCGTGACGCTCACCGCTGGTAATGTAGCTGAGGTGATGGGCCTTGGTCATCGATACAACGTGGCCAATTGTTTCAAAGCTTGTGTTGAGTTTGTCAACGACAGTCTCACCATCGAAAATGTGTGCATTGGCTATGCTTTGGCCATACGCTATGAACAAACTGAGCTGAAAATGCGTTGCGAACGAATGATCACATTGAACACAAGTGCCGTATTCCATTCGACCAGTTTTTTGGCAAGTGGTCGAGACGTGTTGGCCAACATTCTGCACT